ATCCCATGTGAGTAAAGTTTTACTAAAGGTAATACAGAAACAGCTGCAAGCATACATTGACAGAGAACTTTCAGAGGTTCAAGCCAGATACAGAAGAGGACATGGAATGAAGGATATCATTGATGACAGCAGATGGATCTTGGCTGAAAGCAGAGAGTATCAGAAGGATGTTTACCTGTGCTTTATTGACTGTGCAAAGACTTTTGACTGTGTAGATCATGACAAGCTATGGACAACATCGTGAAGTATGAGTATTCCTGAACACTTAATTTTGCTCATGAGGAACCTGTACATGGACCAAGAGGCAGTTGTTAAAACAGAACATAGGAACGCTGGATGGTTTTAAAGTAAGTAAGGTGTGTGACAGGGTTGTATTCTTTCACCATACTTATTCAACCTATATCCTGAGCAAATAATCTGAGAAGCTGGGTTATATGAAGAAAATTGTGGCATCAGGATTGGAGGAAGACTCCTTAACAACCTGAGATATGCAGATGATACAACCTTGGTTGCTAAAAGTGAAGAGGACTTAAAATACTTACTGATGAAGATCAAAGGGTACAGCCTTTGGTATGAATTGCATCTCAATGTAAAGAAAACATAAATTCTCACCACTGGACCAATAAATAACATTCTTATTAATGGAGAAAAGATTGAAGTCGCCAAAGACTTCATTTTTCTTGGATCAACTATCAACACTCATGGAAGCAGCAGTCAAGAAATCAAATGACATATGGCATCAGGCAAATCTGCTGAAGAAGACCTTTTTAAAGCGTTGAAGAGCAAAGATGTCAGCTTGAGGACTAAGGTACCAAGGTACCTGACGGAAACCATGATATTTTCAATAGCCTCATCTGCATGCAAAAGTTGGACAGTGAATAAGGAAGATCGTAGAAGAATTGATGCATTTGAGTTGTGGTGTTGGAGAATACTGAAAGTACCATGCGCTGCCAAAAGAACCAACAGATCTGTGTTGGAAGAAGTGCAGCTAGAGTGCTCCTTGGAGGCCAGAATGGCCAAACTTCGTCTCTCATGCTTTGGACATATTGTCAGGAGGGACCAGTCACTGGAAAAGGATATCATGTTTGGTAAGATGGAGGGTCAGAGAAAAAGAAGAAGACCCCCAGCGAGATGGATTGGAAAAGTGGCATCATCAACAGGCTCAATCATGGCAAAAATTGTGAGGCTGGCCCAGGACTGGGCAGTGTTTGGTTCTGTCGTGCTGGGGTCACTATGAGTCAGTACCGACTTGATGGCACCTAACAACAACATCCCTGCTTTTCAAAAGTTTACTTTATGCTACTTTCTTTTATGAAAGAACTGCCTTAGTACCTGTTTTTGTCAATCAAAAGAAATATAAAGAGGATTTTCATTCTTACCCAAAAAAGACAGAAAAGGGAAACTAGTATTACTTCAGCATTTTGCAGACAGCCATTAACAAAGCAGCCTACACCCCAAACAACAATGGACTCACCAAGCTCTTTCCCCAATAAACTACACTCAGAATATATCAACAGGGCACCACAGCTTTGTATTGTCTGAGAACACTGTGTATTAGTGTTAAGTTTTATGTGTTATTTAGGTATGATTTAGGAGGTTTTGCGGGAGTTTGGAATGCTCAAAAAAAAAAAAAAAATTCCATGTAAATTAATGGTAATTGCGTATTTGCTTTATGCCATTTCAGCTTATGAAACTTTACACAGGAACATTTTATTTTCAGATAGCTAGGAAAACCTATATATAATTAGACTATTTTCTATCAAGAGATGTAAAGAGACAGAGATCTTTTAAACGTTGTGCTAGTCCTTATTTTTGAGTTCTGGTGTGGCGCTGTGGGTTAATGCGCCAGACTGCATAGCCGTTTGAACTGCAAGGTCGGCGGTTCAAGCTCACCAGCTGCTCCTTGGAAACCCTATACAGGGTCGCTATGGGTTGGAATCAACTTGACGGCACTTAACAACAACAACAACGTTCCTTATTTTTAATCCCTTTATAGTACTTCTCACACTGTACAATAGTACATCTACTTGTCTGTATCTACCACTAGGCTGTAAGGTCCTTGAAAAAGAAACTGAGTCTTTCCCATTCTTTTTTGTATCAGAATCTAAAACATAGGTATCTGGCTCCTGGGTGACCATCAAAACACTGTAGAATGAATGCTTTCTTGGGTAGTAAACAAATCAGAGTTCACACTCAATATTTTGCAGTTGTCAATAAAAAATTAGGGGCAAGCTGGGGCAGAAATCCAGACACAAGTTCTCATAAAGCAGTATAAATGGAGGAGGGCTACAGTGTACAATGGGGCAGGTTGTTCACAAAATTATCCAGCAAAAGGGGCAAACTGGGGCAGAAATCCACACCGTGCTCTGATCACCAATCCATGAACTCCAACAAAGGTCTGTATCTGCCCACAGTTAAGCAATGTCTTATTTTGAACTTGTAGAAAGACTTGTACAAGCTAAAGATGGTTCTGTTTTAAGTAGTAACGGATAAACAAAGTCTCCAGGAAAAGAGAAATTGCCCTACCAATCTGATTCCACAACAAAGGGAGGGAACGTAATCATGATTGTCATATCTTGAGTTCAGAACAGTGGGGCTGGAGATTGTTTTCCTCTGGATTCTTAACATGAAGTATTGATGAAATAAAATACTTTCCAAATATAAGAGGATCCTAATGTGTCAGACTGCAAAATCGTTCAAACTGCAAGGTCGATGGTTCAAGCTCACCAGCTGCTCCTGGGAAACCCTATACAGGGTCACTAGGGGTTGGAATCGACTCGATGGCACTCAACAACAACGTATAAGGGAGCCCCAGCGTTTAACCTGACTCCAGGTAAGTTACAGAATCAGAGATGCAGAGAGAACTGAGAGAAACATGAAAGGTTTTAAAAAGTAATTGCTGAAAGTGACTTTAGAGATCATCTGGTCCAATCATCACTTCATTTTACAGATGAGGAAAACTTAATCAGGGAGATTAAGTGACTTGCCTGTGGTTAATTAGCAAAACTGGGTCTAGCTGTGTACCTCCAGTTGATTTTCACGCATGTTACTGTTAAGTGCTGTCGAGTCAGTTCCAACTCATAGTGACCCTGTATAAGATTTCCAAGAAGCAGCTGGTGAGTTTGAACTGCCCACCTTGCAATTCAAACCGACCTTTCAGTCCAGTGAATTGTTCTGCAGCGCCACACCAGGGCAGAGTATAACTGCTTCATAGGATTTCCAAAGTTGTATCTTTACAGCCTTGGTGTGTGTGTCGCTGTAGGATAAGCACTGGACCCCAAGGTCATTAAAACTGCAAGGTCAGTGCTTCAAATTCACCAGCGGTTCCTTGGAAATCCTGTACAGGGTTGCTACGGGTCGGAATCAACTCAACGGCATTTAACATTTTTACAGAAGACCACCACATCTGTTTTGCATGGAGCGCCCGATTGGTTCACACTGCTGACCTTAGAGTTAGCAGCCAAGTACTTTTAACCACTGTGCCACCAGGATTCCATATAACTGGGTCTGTTGTTAAACCACAGCGACACACCAGGACTTCAATAGTTGGGTTTGGTGGTGGGTGGTTATAGATTTTGTTTTTGTTTTTCTGGTTTTTAACCTAATGATCTTTCTGCACACCTACTGAATTTCCCATTATTATAGCCATCACAGATTAAGAATTCATTGTGTGGCAGACACTGAGCTATAGAAACAGTCTCAAACAAAGGCTTTACAATAAGACTGAGAAAACAGGAAGTATGTGTTGAAAGAGAAACAATTATGTTGTTATGACCTGGTTCCAAATCATAACAACCCTGTATAGGGTTTTTTAAGAGTGACTGATGGATTTGACCCATGAACCTTTTGGTTCAAACCGACCTTGTGGTCCAGTGCCTATCCTACAGTGCCATACTAGGACTCCATAAATAATAATTTTGTTGTTGTTAAGTGCCATCAAGTCGGTTCTGACCCATAGCAATCCTGTATAGGGACCAAGGAATGGCTGGTGAACTTGAACTGCCAACCTTGCGATTCAAACTGACTTTGCAGCCCAGCGCATTAACCCACAGTGCCACACCAGGACTCCAAAAATAATAATGTTGTTGTTGTTGTTAAGTGCTGTCGAGTCGGTGAGTTTGAACCACCGATCTTGTGGTTCAAATGACTTTGCAGTCCAGCGCATTAGCCCATAGCATTACACCATACGAGGTGACATATGAAGGGAGGGTTAGATTCCGGTGTCTGAGTAGAAGTGGTACAGCCAACATTTTAAATTGGTAGACTGGAACATGGTGCCCTTGTGTAGGCTGACAATTCTGGAAGGAGCCAGAACCAGGTGACTGAGCAAATTCCTCTGAGGATGCAGGTGGGCCTACGGCCACAAAAGCTGTGGCCCTCTGGACTTGTTTAAGCATCTTAACCCAGATTACAGAGAAAAGTGGGGTAAACCTTCTCTACATCTGGGCAGGTGCAGAGGCAGCTGTTCAGGGTGATGAGAAGGCAGCACGAGCTGGGGGTGGCGGAAAAGAACTGGAGAAGCTGAAAGGTGACCTGGTGACCCGAGTTGACCCAGCACCCAGGACAGAAGCAGCAGCGACTACTGCCCGCTAGAAGCGCCAGCGGAGGAGGGCTTTCCGGAGTGGTGCGCGCGACCGGCGGGGCGGGCCCTGCGGCCCAAGCACCGCCTACGTCGGGCTGCGTGACAATGGGCGGGCCGTGGAACGCGCCTGCGGCGGCCGCGAGCCTCAAAAGGGGCGGAGTTGCCGCCGCTGCCGGCGCAGCCCGGGTCGGGATTTGAAAGATTAAAAATTCCGGGTGGAGAGGGCGGCGGCGTTTAATGTGTGGCGGAAACGCTGGGGGCCACGGCTCCGCGTTGGGCCGGGCAGCCGGCAGCGTGTCGGCACCATGAATTATGCGGGCCGCGGGTTACCGCGGAGCCCGGAACATAACGGCCGGGGCGGAGGCAGCGCCTGGGAGTTGGGCTCGGATGCGGAGCCGACGTTCGGCGGCGGTGTCTACTGCTTTGAGCACCTGCCTGGTGGGGACCTTGGCAACAACGAGGTGCCCCTAGCCCTGCTGCGCGCTGACCCCGGGCTGCACTTGGCGTCCGGCGCCGAGGACCACAACCACCACCTGGCGCTGGACCCCTGCCTTAGTGACAAGAACTATGACTTCAGCTCGGCCGAGTCGGGCTCCTCACTGAGATACTACAGCGAGGGCGAGAGCGGCGGCGGCGGCGGCAGCTCCTCGTCACTGCACCCGCCGCAGCAGCCTCTACTGGTGCCGTCGAACTCCGGGGGCGGAGGGGCGGCGGGAGGAGGGCCGGGAGAGAGGAAGCGCACCCGGCCCGGCGGCCCGGCCGCCCGGCACCGCTACGAGGTGGTGACGGAGCTGGGCCCGGAGGAGGTGCGCTGGTTCTACAAAGAGGACAAGAAGACTTGGAAGCCCTTCATCGGCTACGACTCGCTCCGCATTGAACGCGCCTTCCGGACCCTGCCGCAGGCCACGGGCGCCCGGCCCCAGGCCGAGGACCCAGACAGCGACCATGTGTGCGGCCCGGCGGCCCCCGCAGGCCCAGCCTCCAGCTCCGGCGAGGACGATGACGAGGATCGCGCCTGCCGGTTCTGCCCGCGCGCGGCGAGACAGGAGCCCGAGTTGGAGGAGGTGGTGAACATCGAGCCGGTGTGCGTGCGGGGCGGACTCTACGAGGTGGATGTGACCCAAGGAGAGTGCTACCCGGTGTACTGGAACCGTGAGTAGCTGGCCGGGGCACGGTTGGCGGCGGCCCCCAACCAAAAGCAGGCCGCGGTTTGGGCGGGATGGGTTGTACCTCCAGGGGCCAAGACGCCCCGGGTGGGTTTGGCACTTAACTGCAGCGGAGAGGGGGGCACGTGAAGCCTGGCGTTGGGTCCCGGCGGAATGGAGACCGTGCAGGGAGCGCCCGGCTGGCGAAGGGTAAATGAACAGATGCCAGAACCCAAGCTCTTTGGGATCAGCAGGAGAGGAGACCGAATGCCGGGGTCGAATCTCCCGAGTGAGCCGACAGCTGCTGCCATCCCCTGGAGGTGATCCAGGAATGGATCCCCAGCACGGAAGGTTGAATTTCGTGTTCCTACCAGAGCTTTGTCCACCTGGGGATCTGATTCGGTCACATCTACCTTGAGCTGCCTATGATTTAAATAGCAGTGTATTCTCTGGGGTGGGAAGGTGTGAGAGGATCTGCATGAGAAACAACAATTCATTTATGAATTCAGAGGAGAAAATTATTGTTTGGCGGGAAAGGAAGGGCAATAGGTGGTTCCCACGGGAGAGAGAAGGCGAGCACTTTTCACCTCTGACCAGTGGGTTTGGCATGCTCGTGTTGACTCTGAATGTTAGTTTTCATGTTTTTATTTTTGCCTCTTAATCTTAAAAATATACAAGGCCTATACTTTGATTTCCTAATTTGTAAAGTGAGGCAAGTTGTATCTATCTCATAGTTTTGTAGTGGAGATAGACTGAGATAATACTCAGTAAGGACTTGGAACTCTTACATACAGGTGTTTTGCAAGGTTAACATTCAGCGCTTATTCATTAGACATCAACACAGATTTATAATTAAATTAGAATAAAATATGTTAGTGCATGTAGGAAAAGGATACATATGTAATATACAGCTGATATTCTTTAGGTACAGAAGCTATTAGCTACCAGATATTTGTAATACATAATTTTACTTCAGATGAGTCCAACATCCTAACTTAGCTATCTTGTTGTTCTTGTTGGTAAGTACCTCGGGGTCTGTTCTGTTAGTTGATTGTAATTAGCCTTAGGTTCTCCATACATCCCACAACATTCAGCTTAATTATCTGGATTTGTGATTTAGCTTCCTTTCTATACATTTAGTGTCTTATGGGCAGAGTCCATCACCTATCTTTGTATTCTCATAGGACCTAGTGCAATAGATACTCAGTAAAGAGGTATTGAATTGCATCAGCAATTCTGATAATGCTAAAAAATTCATGTTATCATGAGTCACTAAGATAGCAATTACAATGTTTGTCAGATCACTAAATAAAATAAGCATGGCAGGAAATAATTTCTTACTACAAGTTGACACTGAAGGCTTTTGCTACCATTTTTATAAGGTCAGAATAATATAGGGTTTGTCACATCACTCCTCTTGATTATAAGTTCACAAAGGACAAGTTTAGGAGCCCTGGTAGTATAGTGGATTATGAGCTGGGTTCTGCGAGTTCAGTAGTTTGAATCTACCAGTCCCTCAGAGGGAGAAAGATGAGGCTTTCTGTTCCTGTAAAGATTTGCAGCCACGGAAACGCTGTACAGAGTTGCTATGAGTTGAAAGGATTCCATAGCACTTAGCAACAACAAGAGCAAGTTTGGGGAACTCATTGGCTCTGTAGGATAAACACTGAACTTTGAGCCACAAGGTTGGCAGTTCAATCCCACCAGCCTCTCCTTGGGAGAAAGGTGAGCCTTTCTACTCTTGCAGAGTTTTACAGCCTCGGAAATCCTGTACAGGGTTGCTATGAGTTGGTACCAACTCCACAGCACTTAACAACAAGGGCAAGTTTATACATATGGACATCGTGAGTGGAGCTGACTCAACAGCATTTAACGGCATCAAAGGCTGGGTATTCTTGTATTCATTCATACATCCATCGTATATTCACTTTGTTCATTTTTATTGATTATTTGTATGTGCTTGTTTCCTGTAAAAAGCATTAGGGAAGGTAGAAAAAAGGAAAATCTTTCATTCAAGAACTTTTCACCTAATGTTTTGTATGTATTTACTATATAACATTTTTTCCTGAAGATAGATGCATAAGAGCCAGAAAGGTGGATAAAATGCAGGTCGTCCTTGGAGAGGGAACCAAACATCAAAAGATGAATCTTACCCATAGAACAAACTATATTCACCTATTTGTGGATAAGATTATTAATGCTGGTATAGCTTTCTTGTTTACAAATGATTCTCTCATTCATTATTTCTCAGTATTAAGTCAGTGCTAACATTCTGTATATTAAGAAATGGACTCAGTGAAATTAATGAACTTGTTCAAGGTCACTCAGCTAGAAAGTAGTAAATCAGTTTATAGACCAGTGAGGGAATACAGTACAGTGTCTAAGGGTCTAAGCCACCCAAGGAGGAGGATGTCAGGAAAGCTTCCAAGATGTGAGACTGAGGCCTAAAGGATATATTGCTAAGCAGGAGAATGGGGAAGGTGGAAGGAAAGGCATTCCAACCAGGCAGGGTCACACTTGCAGGGACATAAAAATGAAACTGCATGGCATTTTGAGGAACTGGTGGCTGTAATGTCAGAGGCTAAGATGCATTGGACTGGCTTGGGGAACAGGATAGGGAATGTGTAGGGAGCACTTGTATGTGAATGACTCATTTGGGAGAATAGCTAGAAAAGGGACAAGGGTAGATGTGTCATGCTAAGGAGTTTGGACTTCATCCAGTGAATAAAGGGAAAACAAACAATTGGAGTCCTGGTATGGCACTGTGGGATAAGCACTGGACTGCTAACCAAAAGGTTGTTATTGTTGTTAAATGCCATTGAGTCGATTCTGACCCATAGCGACCCTGTATAGGGTTTCCAAGGAGCAGCCGGTGAGCTAGAACCACCGACCTTGCAGTCTGGCACATTAACCCACAACATCACATACAGGGGATGGGGAACCTTTATTCTGCCAAATTTTATCACATCATTCATGGACCATAAAAAATTATCAATTTAAAGATCATTGTTGTTGTTAAGTATCAGTGAGTTAGTTCCAACCCATAGTGACCCTGTGTAGGATTTCCGAAGAGTGGCTGGTAAGCTTGAACCACTGACCTTGTGATTCAAACCCTTTGTAGTCCAGTGCATTAACCCACTCAGCCACACCAGGACTCCAGTTTAAAGATTAACCTGCTGTATTTAGTCAAACATTTAAATTAACTCATCCTTAATGTGATGGCCACATAACCACCACCACCAATGTGATGGCTAAGGAGCTCTGATAACGTAGTGGTTACAAATCGGGCTGCAAACCACAAGGTCATCAGTTCGAAACTGCCAGCTGTTCCGCGGGAGAAAGATGAGGCTTTCTGCTCCCGTAAAGACTTACAGCCTCGGAAACACTGTACAGGGTCGCTAGGAGTCAGAAGCGACTCCATAGCATATAACCACCAATGTGATGGCTAGGAGTCCTGGTGGGTGCTGTGAGTCAATGTGCTGGACTGCAAAGTTGGTTTGAACTGCAAAGTCAGTGGTTCAAGTTCACCAGTCTCTCCTCAGAAATCCTACACAAGATCACTATGGGTCGGAACCAACTTGACAGCACTTAGCAATAATAGCAACAATGAGATGGATGGAACTACAGTTGCCTTGGCAGGGCCAGACCAAATGATTTCATGGGCCTTATAAGGAGCTCTGGTAACATAGTGATTATGAATCGGGCTGCTAACCTGAAGGTCGGCAGTTCAAAACTACCAGCTGTTCCACAGGAGAAAGATGAGGCTTTCTGCTCCTGTAAAGATTTACAGCCTTGGAAACCTTGTGCAGGGTCACTATGAGTCAGAACCAACTCCACAGTACTTAACAACAACAACATATGGCCCGCAGACTGGACCTACTCTACCCCTGCTATCCAGGGTCACTGTGAGTCTAAACTGACTCTATGATATTTAACAACAACAACCACCACCAGTTGAAGGTTCTCTATCCCAGGTGATTGGTGACAATAATGGAGACTGGATTGAAGAATTGGAAACAAAATACCAGAAAGATAGTGTCTTAAATAAAGTGAGGACTTTTTGAAATAAATTTTTGTAGTTTTTGTAAGGATGAGGCTTTCTGCTCCTGCAAAGATTTATAGCTGAAGAAACCCTATGTTGTTGTTACATGCCATGAAGTTGGTTCCAACCCATAATGACTGTATAGGGTTTCCAAGGAATGGCTGGTGGGTTTGAACCACCAACCTTGGAGTTAGCAGCCCAGTGCTTATTCTACAGCGTCACACCAGTCAGGACTCCAGAAAACCCTATACAAAGTTGCTATGAGTCAGTACCAACTCATTGGCACTTAATAACAACAGCAACAAAGATGAGTGCCTTACATAAGTTAACCCGAAAGGAAACATGAACATGGTGTTTTTGAGTCTTCTTTCCTAAATCAGGTGTAGCTAGTAGGCTAATTATAGGTTATAGGACAAGCGCTGGACCACAAGGTCGGTTTGAATCCCAAGGTGGGCGGTTCAGACTAACCAGCCACTCTTTAGGAGCCCTGTATAGGATTGCTATGAGTCAGAACCGACGACAGCACTTAACAATAACAAACAGCATAATAACAACACTTTTTTCATTCCATTTTCACATTTTCTACATAGTTGTCTACATGGTAGAATCTTACGGATATCCAAGGTCCTCAGAAGAAGCTGCAATAAAAATACTATTAATCATCCCATCTCATAATTTACCACTTCTCACAAAATCTTTTGTAACTTTGCTAATGAGTTCTTCAAGTTTGTATGTATTATGGAAGCATGATCTCTTCAACCCATGGTCAAAAAGAAGGGTTCTTATGATACTTTCCTGCTTTTGACTTTCTCCCCATTTTTTCTTTTCTTTTTAAATCTTTATGGATAGTGGTAAGCGAAGATTTAAAAAAAAAATTCAACAAGTTCCTTTATAGCTTGGTGGTTGGATTCCATTGGTGGTCATTTAGACTTTGTGACTTGATTGAGCCCTACAGCTGGGTATGG